TGTAAAAGAATAGGCGATTTTTCTCCAGAAGTCATGCACCACCAGCTTTTTACTGATGTAGCAAATCTTTCTATCCAAGAGGGAGTATCCCTAAGCCAAGTAGTTTTTCCTTATACCAAAGTTTAGTCTCAGTAGTTCCTTGTTCAGGATTAAATTCATAAACTCCTGTAAAAGGCAGCAGGGATTCTATTGCATGCTATCTTTTTCTTTTGGGGGAAACCAAGCCTCTTTATTAATCACAAATGCAGGTCCAAATGAGATCATAGTCATAGGAGGAAGTTGTCTTTCTTTTTATTTTCGTTTTGTTTCAATAACATGATAATTCTGCTAAAGGAAGAGATTTCCCCAGTTTAGATTCCCATTCCATCATCAGAGTTGGTTATCAGAATACTTAAAGAAGAGAAAATTATACAAATTACAAAAACCAGGAGTAGTTGGGGAAGGGATATGCACCAAAAGAGTAGCTGTCATCGGTGTTCAGCTGGAAGTTTCTCAAACAGAACAATTGTCAAGAACCTTGCAAACAAAATATTGCTCTCCCTTTTTATTTTTTAATTTGAAGGTTTCAAAATATGAATACTTTTTCCTAGTTGTCTGATGATGACTGGAAGAGCAAAAACCAGAATTAATATTAGGAACAAAACAATCCCTAAATTTATAAAAAATGACCAAGCATTACTATTAGACACATAAGATCAAATGGCAGAGACAAATGAGGCTGAAGTTTTCTCCAAAGATGAAGTAGCTATATGGGATTTACTAAGAGTTAGGATTTGACTATGTAAGTTATGAATATCTAGTCCTATATCAGAATTATTCCATACCCCTTGTAAATGAAGCTTAACTCTATCCCATTCATGATCTGAGGAATTATATGGAAAGGAGTAACACAAATCCATTTAAATGCTATATGACATTGAACCTGAAGTCAACCTTAATATTATTTGATTACCCATAAATAGCACTGTCTCTTCTAGAGCATTTAACCTTTCCTGAATTCCCTGATCAATATGTTCCTGAATCATCAATGCTACAGAAACATTTTTAGAAAGTTGATTAACATGATGTGCTTTATGAATTTCTTGCACAAGGGCTCTGGTAGACAAGGCAAAGCTAGGTAATATATCAATTAAAGCAGTTATTCCAAGAATTAGAGCAGCAAAAAATGTTTTGATCATTGGAGGGCAGTAGTAGCATCGTGAAAAAGATGAACACCTGGATCTATATACCATGGTTCAGAGAGAGTAACAGGAAGCATAACATAAGAAGGGTGGCATAATATAATAAAAGCTTCCTTAGTTTTTGATCTAGTTAAGCAATTTGACAAAATATAGTAAGAACAATATACATGAAAAGAACCATCAGAATTATGGGAGACAAACATAAAACCATGAGGACCTTCCCATAAAATAGCAAAGGGAGCACCTACACAAGCTTGTAAAGGTTTGGAAGTAAACTTTGGATTCCCCCGAGGGCAATGAAGAGTGATCATACCTATTGCAGGCAAAAGTTTATAAAGGTCCCTCTGAATGGGCTGTCTACCAGAGATTGAAAGAGAAACAACTTGAGGAGTAACCCATCCAGGAGAATACCAAGCGGTTGTCCTGTCATAATGTCAAATGAGGTGATCAGGAATCCAAATAGGAGATTCAGTTTCCTGTGGAAAAATACAAGCATATCCTCTTCCCAATGTTAATAAAACATCATAGCTATGCCTTGTGCATAGGAAGGAGAAAAATATGCACATGCTTTTAAGAAATCAGTAAGTGTTCCTTGTCTTCTCACAGATCTGGTTAATTCTTTGCAAGCTATGTTAGCATTTTCAAAGGCCAGTTGTTTTAATAGTTAATCCTGAAGCCTCTTCTTGGGGAATCACCTTAGTTACTGCATCAGTCAACCAAGCTACAAAAGTCTCATAAGGTTCCTCCCCTCCTTGTTTCACATTTATTATACCCATGGGCAAAGGGCCAGGAGAAGGCAAGCGCTTCCAAGCTTCAATAGCCAGTGAGGATATCAGCAATAATGCCTTCTTGGGAATCTTTATTTGTTCTCTAGTGTCTATCCATTTTCCTACTCCCATCACCATAGACATATCTATTTCTCTAGCCTCATCCTTAAATTTACTGTATCCTAATTCCCTTTTGACCTGTTCTTCATATTCTACTTTCCATAATAAACAATGTCCTCCATCCAGGCAAGATAGTGCAATTTGACTCCAATCTGAACGTGTCAGCCAATAGCTTGCTAAATTATCCACCAAGGTAACAACATAAGGAGCAGTTGGTTCATATTTATTAACTGCCTCTTTAATTTCTTTTAATAATTTATAAGGAAGAGGTTCCCTAGTAGGCTCTTCATCATCATCATAAGTGACAGGGAAGCATCTCAAAAAGGCTTCTTGTCTAGTTGCCTCTTTCATAGCCCCTGAAAATCCTACTGCTCTCAAGCCTTTGTGT